CCACAGTTGCACAGGCCAGTCTGAACAGTACTGTTTAGCTAGGGATAAGCTGGAAATCCAGCTGAAAAGGCATAAAAATAAATATAAACCCTCTCTACCTGCCTTATTTGTTTAAGAAGTGATGTAAAGCAACCCGCCTTTGAAAACATGGTAATAGGGCCCCAAGTTTGTGTTTTGGTATTGCTGGGTTCAGTGTCATGTTTCAGTTGTAAGTAGTGGATCCCTGTGACAAAATTAGAAATAAGAAGGATGCCGTCTAGTTGTCGTGTTGCTGTGGCTGGTCTATAGCTAGTGGCATGTATGTTTGCATTGCTTCTAACTGTATTGTGGGGTATTTGCATGTGGGTGGAAATGAGGATGACCAACACTACCATTCACCCTCATCCCACATATCAACACTTCAATTAAAGCGTCCTTGGCATCTGTGCTGCAGGTACTTGTTAATTGTAGCCTTGGTAGCACAGGTTGCATCTGTTGGAGTCCGTAAGGAACCTGGGATACATTGCTAGTGTGAAGTCTACTTTGGTCTACCGGTTCTTTGTGGCAGTTGTTACTTGAGTGAACTCAGGTGTGTTGCACAAGTTGTATTCACAACTACAATTGTGTCACTGTGTCAAGAGAGGAACTTTTCCCGCCACACTGTTAGATCCCTTCTGCAAAAACACTTAGACATGTCCTGCCAGAGAGCATGAACTGGGTTGATGACAGTGTAATTGGGCAAGAGTTTAAAAAGGACCTTTCTTTGGCTCTCCTCTGCCGAAGCATTGTGGTGAATGTCGCTCAGCTGCTATCAGGCTTTCTCTGCGTTTCGATTCCTTTAATATACGTCTTAGGCACAATTTAATGTCATTGTAAAATACCATTTTCTCCACAGATATTCAGACTAGCAGACACAAAGACAGGAGGAAAGGATCACTGGATGTCAGATCCACAACATCACGAGGGAGTGATGGTATGTTAAAAAAGTAGATTTTTCTGATTTCTACATATATTCAGATTTTTATGTGCATGCATATGTACACATACGAATATAGGTAAGTATGTATGTGTATATATACGCATACAAATACATGAATAAAATATCAAGTCATCAATTCATGAACAACTTTGCATTTGTCAAATAGCCTCATTTTCTTCTCTTGAACTACTTTGAGTCTTTTTTTGAACCAGTGGAGAATGGAAGGCTATCGTCTACCCTCTGCACAGAAAAACCTCATGAGATTCAACAGATACTTTCAAGTACAAATGGCAAACTCTGAACCTAACAAATTATTACATTTCTTACCTCTTGATAAAAATATGATGATAATTTTCTTACGAATTTGTTTTCTTTTCTCTGTGTTGTGTTTTGCTCCATTAGATCACCCCAAACTTGATAGATGAGTCACATATTCAGAACTTTTGCTGATACTTAATGATTTTGTTAAGGCACACATCATTACAGTCTAGGCAGCATACACTAGTGAAACATGGAAGTTGGGTCTGTGGCAGTGAGAATACAATCATACTCCAGTATAGCAAAAATAGCATTGATTCCCCTTAAGTGCTGCTCAGCATGCAGAGTAACAGAGATGCGTCTGCGTTTTACAGGTAGCACAACATAATTATCCACAAAAATCCCATCTTGGCCTTTTCTCTACAAATCCAAAATTTCTAACTGATATAAAACATTTGGTTTTCAATTTCCCATGAATAATAGGCCAGAACCTCTGCTGTTTTAATTTGGCATAGCTATCTTTACTTCAGAGGAGCTTCACTGGTTTACCTCAGCTTGGAAGCTGACTCATTATGACTTGTTGCGTTGCATCAGGCAGCAAAAGCAGGTATGTCCTATAATAACCTAAGTGCAATAGTTACCTACCTGTGCCTGCCAGTTTATACACACACACATCTGTATAGTCTTTTAACTGAGTTTTTAATTGAATATTTTAATTAGTTGAAATAATAAAACCCAGAGCCTTGATTTTGCCAGGCAGTTACAGCTTCTTATCTCTAATCAGGGATATCAGTGGTTCAGCAAGCATCTCTTTGCACCTGTGTGTCCCCAGCATAACAAGCATGTGTATGCATTTTGCAATAGATTGCCTCTAAAGGGCACAGCAGGGTAAGCAGTTCAGAAAATGAATCAAGATTTCTTGGCTGAATCTTCCTGTCATGCTTTGTCGCTGAAATCAGGATACAAATTCTGCTTTGTTTTCCACACAGGCAGCTCACAAAGGCGGCACTCTTCTATGGCTAGGATACATTCCATGACTATTGAAGCACCCATCACCAAGGTAATGTGCACTGTTGCTAGCTGTTGTCAGATGCACTGTACTGGCATACTGGGGCACAAGGCTCCAGTACAGCATCCAGATTGAGGAGCAAGGCAGCACTGGCTTCTGGTGCAACTTCTTCCCTTATTCCACCTGACCACTGGTGGAAAAAAAAGCCAGATGTTCTGAAGAAAGTTCTCCCAAGCCTGCTTAGTAGAGTGCCCTCCATGTGGTCAGCCATTGCATGACCCTTTCAAAGGACTTTGCCTGTGTGAAGGAGGGAGTAGAGTTCTTCCTTCTTACTTACGCATTGTAAACTGCTTTCTGAAACCATTCAAGGATTTGGCAAAAATCAGCTCTTTAATAAACTGACACAGGCAAATGGGAGAAGGTTATATTAAATCCATTCAGAGATATTTTGAAGCTGTGCCTTGAATGGGAAAGTCATTAAGACGACTGCTGTCTTTAAGGCCACAATCTTGTTCCCAGAGTCAGTAGCAAACATCAGTGTTTTATTAACATCCCTTTCATTTTGATTCTCCCACATGTGGATTAAAGTCGTAGGTCTCATTTATTTGCTGTGTTCCATAGTAATTGATGAATGTCTCTGTTCTTTCTTAAATCACTTCTAAATTCAAAACATGTCTAATGCTTAACTAGGTAATAAACATCATCAATGCTGCACAAGAAAGCAGTCCCATGCCAGTTGCAGAAGCTTTAGACCGGGTTTTGGAGATTTTAAGAACCACTGAATTGTACTCTCCACAACTGGGGACAAAAGATGAGGATCCACATACAAGTGACCTTGTTGGAGGGTTAATGACAGTAAGTACATACTGCCACAAACAGCTGTTGATTAATGTTCCACCTCCTGATTTTCTCAGTTACCTGATGTTTATCATTTGGCATGTGTTTTGCCTCTACGATGCCAAATTTTCAGGAAAAACTGCACACCTCTTTTGGTGGCTTTTTTTTCCCCCTACATTAATAATGTCACTCTGAAAACGGGAAGAAAATTGACCAGTCCCTTTGAAGCATTAGTTTTGCTAGAAATTGGAAGGGAAAACCAATTCTCTCTTTCAATGTCATTCATTTTAGAAAGGTATAGATGGGAGAGGAAGAAAGAAAGATAGCTAGATACTTGTATTTCTTAATTAGGATTAGAATGGCATGTTTTGGCAGCTTTACAGTGTATAGAAAGAATGTGTTTTCAAAAGGATGCAAAATATGTATTTTGTTGCTATTTCTAGGATTATATTTGTGCCCGTAGAGACTCACAGAAAGATCAGAGTGCTTTGAGCTAGAAACATGAATGTTCATGTATTAAAACACAATCACACTCCACAGAACTCATAATTTAAATAAATAAGGCAAGAAAAAGACTGAAGAAGGCATGTATTATGTTGTTATGTCATCAAAAGAGGAATGGGGGCATTGGAAAAAGAAGCGTTGTACCAAATGTTGAACAAAGGGCGCATAGCAAAGCAAGAATTGAACCCAAACTTTCAGAGCCTGGAGTCTGACTCTCCTGATAATAACTAGATGAACCTGGATGAATATTACCTGTGCCTTAAGGATATGTGTTCCCATTAGTCTGTAGGTTACATATAAAAGGCTACCTCAGGAAAAAATTTGGCAGTATGTTGGATGCAAAAAGGCTCACAAGATGTAATGTGAGCTTTTCAAAGATGTTTCTGGGCTAGTATCATTTCATGCTGTAACTATCGAGATACCTTTGCAGCATCCATCAGAATGTTTAAACAGTTTACATCTATTTTTGCCTTTTAAATTACCGCAGCAAATATCTAATCAGGAGAAACATACGAGAGACTTGAAGAATTCCAGGAGGAGACCTGAATGGTTCATACAGGGTTGAATTTACTAACTCAGTAGACAAAACATATTGTTACCTGAACTTTAAAAATATAGGAAGAATATTGGTGAATCTTTTCTCCCATAAACTCAGCTGTTTTCTCCTTTTTGTCAATTGTTGATTCTTACATACATTTGTATTCAGACTGTATTCAGTCCATGGTCCCATATAGGTAACAATACTGCTAAACACAAAATCCTTACTAAAAACAGAACAAAGGCTATTTTATGGAGCAATAGAAAAGCTGAAAAAATACATTTCAGAGCATGATGGTATATGGTATATTACGAGTTTTAAAGGGATCTGGGAGTAACATTTTTCCAGCAAAGGGTCTATTGAAAACAGAATCGTATTATTCCATTTCATGTTCAGCAGTTATGTCTGAGTAGGGGAACAAGTAGTAGATTATTGGATTTGAACTCTCAAGCAGAATTTGTGATGGGAAGGGCATTTGGAGTTCAAAGATGGATTTGCCAGATACAATTACACCTGCTATTTCAATTCTTAAAAAAGTAATCTTTGATACTAAATGATACACAGCATCTGGTGTCCTAAATATTTGTGTCGTAGCAGTGCTGTTGAAGAGTCACTGGCTAGTTATAGGAGTCGTACTCTCTTTCCTTTAAATCACAAAACTCCAGACTAATTTACTTAAAATGTGAAAATGAGATGGAACAATTCTTTTAAGTGCAGACATTGCTTCTTCAGACATAGCGTCCACATTTACTTTTGCTATACTTTGTTAGTAAAGTGCATTCAGAAAGATTATTTTTTTTTAATAACTGTTGGTTTACATCATGGGCTAAAGATTAATGTGCAGTGACTAACAGCTGTATACATCAAAAGAACAAGCAGGTTTTGGGCCACAGCATTTAGAATTGTGAGCTTATAAGTCAATGTTAAATATATCGTTCTGTTTGAATCCTTTGTCTTAGTTTGCACACCTAGGCATCATGCCAGAATAAAGCCTAGGAGGCACTGAGTTGGACAATAAGCAAGCATACTTTCTTTAATAGAAGGGAAGCCTCAGGGTAATTCATTGCTGTGCAATCCCAGCAACAAATCATGAGATACTTATGCTACTGAGGTGACCTGGTCTGCCCATACCATGGGGAGGAGAGCAGAAGCATGTCTCCATCCATGTCTCCACCCACCTTTGCTTGTTGATGGGAAGTATGTGGACATACTGTGTCTGGTTTGTGGCACACATCCAGAACCTGTGTCTGTGTTGTCTAGACAAAGGTGGTTGTCAGGCTGTAATTCCAGACCTTCATCTGCACCTGAGAAATTTGAGTTTCCACCTATCTGGGTTCATATTGTATCTCTTGCAGTTTCTCATCCATTATGAACGATATGTAAAACAGGCAAATCTTAAGAGTACACACCAAAAAGGGAGAGGCAGCTTTGATGACTGTGACAGGTTGTGGTCAGGCTTCTCTAAAGTCATTGCGCTGCTACTTGGTGTAATCACCTTATAGACCTTTTGTACAATACCTTGAATTTAACTCTCAACTTTTATTGAACAGGATGGTTTACGAAGGTTATCGGGGAATGAATACATATTGTCAGCAAAACGTAAGTTTTAATTTGTCAGTTACTGATATATTAAAACATGTTAAGAAATTTAAGAAAAAGAGGAAATGTGATCAAATGTTCTTTTTCATAAGCATTGTTTGGGTTTGGTTTATTTTTATTTACAAGAATTGTTCTGCAGCATTACTGAGCTTTATAGAAACGAGAGTTGCCAGACATTACTACAGAAAAGAAAACATGAATGTTGAGTAAAATTGTATCTCAGGGTTATTAATAGTGATCTGCAAATATATTCCTTAACAGAAACTCATCAGGTAGCTGGCAGTTTGATCTCTCCAATCTCCCTCAATGATATACCCCCACGGATAACACAGGCAATGGAAAATGAAGAACACTGGGATTTTGATATCTTTGAACTTGAGGCTGCTACCCATAAAAGGTCAGTAAACTCAAGAGCTCATAAATTGAAGTTTCTGAAAACTGACTTAAATGTCATCCTGTAATCAGCTCTTTAATTTCTCTACTTGTGCTTTTAAAATGGAATTACTTTTATTTTCAAAGTCAAATGTTTGAAATTTTCTCATTGTCATTTCTAGTTGTGTATGAACCCATTAAATATATTCTATTTCATCATACACTATTTCCTGCAGATTCCCAGTGGATGTAAGTGAAGATTATATATCTTTGATATGATATAATAACAAAACAACATCATTTTAAAAGCCTTCCTTTTCTGTTCTCAATAATAAAGTTCTACAAATCAAATTGTTGGGAATTCAAATTCAAATTATGGCCAGCTACACACAGAGTCAACATGCTGGTCTTAATTTCATCAGTTGATACAGATCGTGTTTTATTTTCTCTCCCTGTAATTGAGTAATTTTTATTCCTAAACAGTTCAAATACAGCTTTTCAGCAGAATTCCCATTGCCTTTCTCTGGGATTAGAGGAAGGTCATTATTCTAAAATCTTGGCAGGCTACATTTTATGTATAAGATTAACTGAGGAATATTTACTGATACAAAGTAGGGCATACCAATTTCCATCACAGAAGTTTTCAAAGGCAGATCAGCAGTTCTGATAGACTGTACTTCAGTCCCACTAAGCCTGTAAATTGACCTTTCTGTTTAAATCCTTGTTTTTATCTGCTGATGCCTATCAAAAGTTCTCCTTTGGGTCTAGTTGCATGTATCGTGCTTTGTCTTAGCTTAAAGCTTCTGAGACACTAATTTGGAAGCTAGATCCTGCAATTAATTGACTATCTTAAGCCCTCATCAAAATCCCAGATCTGTAAGAGCTTTGAAAGCTGTTAAAAAACAATGTCTAAGAAAGATACCAGGCATTTAGTTAACATATATGCACTTCATTTTTAGACTATGGTTTTATGAGCCAAAAAAAGTGGGGAAAAAAAAGTTAGGTTTTTATTCTTCTTTAAAGTGAAGAATTTGCATCCAGTTACTTTAGGGTGTGTTTTTTTGCTCTGCTACATTTCAATATCTAATGAAGTGCCATAGATACAGTAATTAAAAAAAAAAAAAGTCAAAATGTAGTCGGTCTGTGTGATTTACAACATTTAATATGCACATTGCAGTAACTTAAGAATTAATTATCCCAGCCAACATGCATGAGATCACTAGGTAAGTTTCTCTGTTCTTACTGATTTGGAGAGACAACAGAGGGACAAAGGAGTTATTTTGTTGCCTGTCCTCTTATTAAAGGTATTCTAATTATGATTGCTTCCTGCTGCGTTTAAATAAAGGCAATTCATTTATTAAGAGAATTAAAGTGATCTTCAATGAATCACAACTATGAATACTTTATTAGTATTGTCTTCAAGTCCAAGCAGACATATAGTAGAAAGAGAATTCATTAGATCTAAGCTTTAGTGCATTGCACTTCCCTGACACAGAAACCTGGAGAGACCTTTGTCTGACAGTGCTACATGAGGGGGGATTTAACTTTAGTCTATTATGATAGCATAGAGCACAGTATTGTGGTGTGTTTCTGCCAAAAGATGTACATCCAACTCTAAATGACCTTACCTCACTCATCAGGTGCAGCTAGAATTCAGAGTGCTTGATGCGTCTGGAATCAAGCAGCAAAGTGAGATGTCAAAATAAGGGTTTAAGAAATATTTGCCACTATATCTGTTCTTAAGCAAAAAATGTATTGGACAAGAAAAAAGCAGTATTAATTGGATTCAAAAAAAGGCTAGTGGACTGAAACTTGATATTTTTTCATTTGTTCTATTAAATGTATTTCACTTTCACAGCTTTCAGATTAGAAATATTCTGTACTGCTGTTCTGATCTTCATTCGGCTGCCAGTCATCTGGGTTTAAATTGTGCAGTTTGACCTGGGAGAAGCAAGAGTACTGGAATACAGTGATGTTGGCTATTTTTGGAGACAGGTCTCTGACTGGGTTAGCCTAAAGGTTCATCTGGCCCTTGTAGTCTTCTAGAAATGGCATACTCTGTCCTGGTCATTTGCTTCCAGAATACCTCCATCTCTCATCCTCCGTTGCATGCCAAGTCACTGAGCAATGGAAGCCTGCAAAGGTGGGCATAAAAGAAATGGAGCAGATCTGCAGAAAGAATAGTGATTGCAGTGTTGTATAGTATAGATATACTCAATCTAACTGTAAACAAGCTAGTTTAGGTATCTATGGCAGCAACAAGGTTACCTCCCTCCTCTCATGTGCAGAGTTTAGTACTTGCTAATTTACCTCATTTTTACTGCAGTCTACATTTACCCCACATAGGCTCCCAAGCCCCAAAATACTGCTACATGTAGTACAGCAGCAATACAGAGCCTTGTTAATATTCCTGGAAGCGTCAGGAACTGGCATGATTCTGAGAGTGCCTGTGTGATGGGCAGGCAGAACATTTCTGCAGATCTGGATTTTAATTCTCTAACAAGTCCTTATACCTAATCTGACATGTTGTTAGTTAAAAATGCTGTGTAGATTAATACTATATATGCTATGTAGTATTCTTTCAACCTCATTTGTTTCAAAACTTTGTGTTTATTTTTCTCCTCAGGCCTTTGGTTTATCTCGGTCTCAAAATATTTGCTCGCTTTGGAATCTGTGAATTCCTAAACTGCTCAGAATCAACTCTGAGGTCATGGTTACAAGTCATTGAAGCTAACTACCATTCCTCCAACTCCTACCATAATTCTACTCATTCAGCAGATGTACTACATGCCACTGCTTATTTCTTGTCTAAAGAAAGAGTAAAGGTGAGTCCACATTTATAAGAAACAGTGCATGTGGGAAGCACAGGTGCGATCAAAGGAAGTTCTCTCAAAAAAAGATGCCAAGAGCCAAATGTCTGCCTAGTGCCAACCAGTTTAGTAAATCTGAGGTCAAAGAACTGAGCTGCTTTACATGCATTCTAGGATCTCTCTTATAGCGTATGTGGAAGGATACTGATATTACAGGAATTGTGTTATTCTTGATGGAAGAATAAGAAAACCTCCTTTTAAAACAAGACTTATTTGTATAGTTAAAGTTTCTCAGATAGGTGAGCTAATGACACAGTTATTTTTGTGACAGTACATGCCACATACAGATTTAATGTAATAAATCACCATCTCTTATGCCTTGTGATGGTAATTTTGCAGAAGACTCCCAGGACAATATAGGCCATAAAATAGGTTTAGTGCTTCCAAAGCTATATCACCCACTGGAGGAGATGCCCTGAGGTTTAGAGACTGCTTTGGAGGAGAGTATTGAAAAATATTACTTGTTGAAGTTCTTTGTACCATAACACCCACTGGCATATTAGAGCCACTGACAACCAGAATAAATCAGAGCAACTTTTGTTGTCACATGCCCAGAGGGCAGACGGGAGAAGGGGAATTAAAACAGTGTTTGCATGTGTGTGCAGTGGAGCAGCAGTACACATTTCCGAGTTGCATTTTTCAATAGAAATTCCTACCCTGAATTGGCCTGCCTGAGGATAGTGCTAGTGATAGGAACCTGGCTGGAGACATTCGCGACTGTAAACAAGCTTCTGACAGCTCATTAAAACTGTAGTAAGTCCCTTAACCTGGAGCTGCAGCTCATTAGTGTGCTCTCCAGAGGTTAACTTACAAATACTATATGCCAAGTGGGACTAGAACTTCACTGGATATTTTCAGCCCCTGATTTGCCAGAGGTTTAGCTGGTCTTCCCAAGAATATCTATGAAAAACAGACAAGATCTGGACTCGTTTCAATGCCACAGAAGCATGAATGGCTCCTCCTTTTCCAGAATGTTGTTTCCATGCCTCTGTAGGCATAGGAAGAGAAAAAAAAAGTTGCAGCAGCAGCAAGAGCAGAATCAAAGTTCAAAATTCTCTCTTTATCATTTCGAAGTTACAGCCCAGCTGCTTTTGTGTTGTCCAGAGTTCAACTTAACCTAAACACAGAAGGCCAGATTCTGCCACTCAAATTCACACTAAGGAGATTTTTTTCAGTAAATTTGACTCGCTTCTTGCCTGGAAAAAATTTCTGGCTCCCAAATTGAAGCAGTGTTCTCAGAATCGTTTCCACTTCTGTGCCACAGGAGTTAAAAATCCTCAACCCGAAGTCAAGGGTAAAGGTGCTGTAAATCCCTGTGAAGTTTGTTGTGTCAGGCTCAGGAAATAAGTGCGAGATACGCTGCTGTGGTCCTACAGGTCAAGTATTCTCCAGTTTTTGGCCACTTCCCATCTGCCTAGGTCTTTCTCAGCCAGACCGAGGACTGGTCAGTGTGTCCCTCTGAGGAGAGCCTGTTCTAAAAATCTCTGTCTCCTAACTTCATACCACAAAAATAGAACCCTATGAGCAGCAGCTGAAAGAAGGAAGCAGCTAACACACAGCAGATAGTATTTCAGACAATGCAAACTATGAACCTAGAGTAGAAATACTTCTTTGCCTTTTCTTGTTGCCCACAAGGCCCTCTTGACAGTCCTCAATGAATAATATCCTAGCTCCATCAAGGCCAAGTCACTGCATTAATTTCAGGAGGTGTAATGTAGGGTAGGAATTGTCTTTTCACCTACCAAGTCTAATCATTCTGAATGGTACTGTCAAAGCCAGTAGAGAATTTGGACCTTACATTCAGGGTAATTGGAATGGAAATTATCTGCCCTGCTTCTAGATTCAACTGGGAACATTTCTGCTCTTGTGCCTTTTTCATTTTATTAAAATTTTTAACATAATTGTTCTGTATTTGTGATCCTTCACAAAAAGCCCAGCATAAACAGAGCATAAAGGCTTGTTTACAAATGTATTCTGCGATGCTTGGTTCTTTTTCTCCTTTATGTTATTAATGCAGTATTAAAACTTTAAGACTCAAATAGTTCTGTATTTCTTTATAGAGTAGGTATAATTAGACATAGAGCAATGACCAATGTAAGTCGACATAAAGGATGGAGTGCAGCATGCTAAGCGAATCGGAATCTGATACAGAAAGTATACAACAGGATCATGTAATTTTTCCATGGATGTAAACCATCAAGTATTCTTCATAGAATTCATACTAGCTGTAGCCTCAGGACACTGTTATTATAGAACTAGATTTATGAGAAACATTCCTTACAAATTGTAAACCTATCCAGCACGTAAGTGGAATGTGATTAGGACACATTAAGTTTCCAAAAGAAATGAAGGGGTCTAGTGGAAATAGAGTATTTTTTTAGCAGTATTGGTCTTTTTTCCAAGTCAAATACCCTAACTCCAAGTGACAGTGGTTTCTGTGTTGTTAGAAAACACAAATTAATTTATTACTTTGTGTTTGTTTAATTTGATGTGCTTTGTCAAAGGTGTGGCTAAGGCAAAATTCAAGAGTCACAAAATGGCCAAAAAAGTCATGCAGTGTTCAGTGAAGCTTATAATGAATTTTCCATTGCTCTGTCTAAAACATCTGACCCTTACTGATCTGCAGAGTTCTGGCTTTTATTCCTCAGCAACTTGGCTTAATCTTATGGACAGAGTAGGGTTTCTAATGAGTCTGCCAGGAAAACTAAGCATCCTTCTATTTTCAGCAAACTTTGGATCCGATCGATGAGGTTGCTGCACTCATTGCTGCCACAGTCCATGACGTGGATCACCCAGGAAGAACAAATTCTTTCCTGTGCAATGCTGGCAGTGAGCTAGCAATTCTCTACAATGACACCGCAGTGCTGGAGAGCCATCATGCTGCCCTGGCTTTCCAGCTCACCACCCGGGATGACAAATGCAATATATTTAAAAACATGGAGAGGTAAGCTTAGAACCTAGGGTCCTTGTCCGCCCACTAACATCTCTCACTTTCTGCTGTGTAACATAAGATAATGCAAACGAGCATCCTAGAGGAGGACAGTGCCTCGTGGATAACTGTCTATAGTCCTTGTGGAGGTTTGCTTCTAAAACAATAGAGTGCTTCTGCCTGTCCTGCACAAACTTAGGAGTAATCCCATGGTTTTAACTTCTCCTGTGGATAAAAAGGTGGACCCTATCTAAGAAACTTAGTGTAAATCTTAATGTTAGCAAGTCTAGAAGAATAATTTTGTGTCATTGGACGTAGATGATAAGCTATGGCTGAGTCAGTAGATGTTTGCTGCATAGAACAAGGATAGAAAGAGTCACAGAGCATCAGTCCAAAGATTAAATGCCTTGTTTTAATGGGAAGGATAGTGAAGGACCTGTTGTTCTTCTTCCAGCCCTAGAAAGGTGTTTAGGGTGAGGGTGTGACCATTGCCTTAACCCTCTCAAGATACGGCAGAAAAGTACTGCTGAAAACTTGTCTGGAGTACTGCCAAGTGTCTGTGCTAAAAGTCTTGGGAACATGCCAGTATGGCATGTCCTGGCAGCCCTGACCAGTTCTTGCACTGTTTCTTGTAGAGATCCAGTCATGCCTCTAGCACATATGTTTCTGCGCACCAATGGGTACTTCATCCAGTATAGATGCAGCTGCCCAAGCCTTTATTACTGTTCTTTCTTCCCCCAGCACCTCTCTTCAATGGAAATGGTCTGTAGCATTTTTGTTAGACTTGTTTTAGCAAGCAGCCCTTTGTGTACTAGCCAGCATTCTTAATTGTTTCCTTCTTTAAACAGGAATGAATATCGAACCCTTCGCCAAGCCATTATCGACATGGTCTTAGCAACAGAAATGACAAAGCACTTTGAGCATGTCAACAAGTTTGTCAACAGCATTAATAAACCATTGGCAGCACTAGAAGAAAACGGGGTAAGCAACACTGCAAGTCCTCCTTAGAATGACTAGGCAGGGACTGGGAAACCTTGGCAGTAGGAAATCCCCACGAGGTATTCTGAGAAAGCTCATCACAAATGTGGAGAAAGAGACTAGAAATGTATCTTTCACCTCTGGGTTTGAATGCCCTCCTGCTTAACATGGATGTCACACATTTTGAGGATGAGTGGAACTCACTTGGATCCTATTAATATTGCAGTGCTGTGACGTTGAAGCTTGGGTTGTATATTTTCCTGTTAAAAATGCCAGTTTGATGAACCCAATCACTCACTTGGAGAGAGAGTGCTAGTGGCAAGTCATTGGTTTTGGCTGTTTCTGCAAAGAGGCAGATGATTTGCCTCAGAACAGAAGCTGAATTACTCCCTCACTCACAATGGGGACCACTGGTGGTGCAGCTTAGAGCAGGGATATTGGTGGCCATATGGTGCATTCTCGAACTGAGGGCCCTCAGCCTTCAGCGCTGCCTGGCACCGTTCGTGGGTTTTCTGTCTGCTTTCTTTTTTAATCTTTAAAATAGATGATGGTGGCATTATGTATCATATAGACATAATCAATAGCCATCTGGAACCCCATGGACACAATGAAATTGCCTGTTAAGAACTCATTCTGAAAAACCACACCAGTTTCAATAACAGCTTCAACCAGCAGTTTTGTTGCCAGTAGGAGCAGTGTATAATTTTGTTGGAATGGTTTTTGCAAGGAAAAGATTTTTAGAAATGGTTATAGTAAAGTTTGCATTGGTGGCAATGTCCTGCAGGAGCTGTAATGGTGTTCTGTGTTTTCTTATCATATTCGTTAGAAGGCCGCATTTATGACTGTTGTGTGTAATGGGAAGTCTTTTTATTTTCTGAAGGTGAGAGAGAAACAAGGCTTGTTCCTTCACCCATCAGAAGCAGATTGGAGCTTCTGATTGGAGAAGACTACTTTTGTTCACAAGAGCATATGCTAGAGTTAGCTTTGTTCTTGGCACCCAGCAACGCTAATGAGAACTATGTGAATGTGAAGCCAAAGTCCCAGTAGGATACTGGTTTTCCTGACTAAACTAGGAGAAAGGCTGCTGAGTCTGTGGCTGTGAAGTAGTTTTCCCAGGCAGCCTCATGATGCAGAATACGGCTTAAAGTCACAGACAAATACTGTCGATTTTTGTGGGTGCTATATTAGACCTTGTGTAATTGTGAAGTCTGCTGCCCAGGACATATCTACACTTTGTTACAAGTGTCTGTTCACTGCTACCAGAACCTAGAGAAGACCAGAAGTAGTTTGTGCACACGTGTGTCCTTAGATTCATCATTTAATAGCTAAGCCATAGCAAAGGCTTAGCATAGTTGGTCTCCTACCTATCACAAATAACAGAAGGATGGTGAAAAAACAGGCTTAAACTGTAAAGTTGTCAAAGGTTACCAAGCAACAGGACTACTACCATCTCTACAGGCTAATGACTCCATTTATATGCACGTGTTATGATGCAGTCAGCCCTTAATTATATCATCAGATTCTGTTTTTCACTGACTGTGCTCTGATATCAAACCCCATCACTGCCCACTGCCTTGTTGTGCTGTTTTCACTTGTCACTCACTGTAGTGCTCCTTGGCTTGTCACTAGCTCTGCCTCTCTTCCACCTCCATTTTCAGCACTAGCTTCCTCACTCAACAAGTCCTTCCTTTTACAGCCTTTCTCCCCTCTTTCAGTTCTGTTTGCTTGCCAGACCTTTGTCTCCTCTCTCTTTCACAGTTCCCGGGACTTTTGTGCCACTCTACTCCTCTCTTCACCTTTTTGCATTCAAATCAGGCAACATACCTCTTCTTCCTTGCTGCTGTTTTCAAAACTTGCAGGTTTTGTTTATTGCAAGTACAGGAAAGACAGGCTCCCTGTTCTTAGCTACAAAACCAGAGCCTGGACAGTGCCTGGTCCAGCACAGCCAAGAACTACGGTTGCAGGGAGAGTCCTGTTCAGTCCCAGGCTCCAGCAATTCCTATTGAGTCCACACAAACCACAACTTTTTTCGACAAAGTTTGTAACTCGTCCAGAAGATTTTCACAGGGGTGGTGACTGGTTTACCCCAAAACCATCCCTCCAACTAAATTCCAGGTCTTCAGTCATAAAGATGTGAGGGTATTAAAAAAGAGAAAAACAGCAATAATTTTTAACATCAGCGTGAAGAGCTGATTTCCCCCAACCTCATATTTAGAAGCCGACAAAACACTTTTAACTGCACTTTTCAGGGGGGAAGAAAAATCTTTGCCTGAGGCAGACACCTGGTGGGGAAACTTCAACCAAACAAGTTAAATTGGCAGTTATGAACAGCATTAAACAAAATGTTTTAATGTAAGGTGTCAGCCTGCAGGCTAGCCTACAACCATAGCTGTAGATGATCAAGCTGTTTCATTGTAGACTTTTTTTTTTAAAACTTACATATGTATTAATTTATGATCGTGGAATTTTCCACAGAACCAATTTTGCTTAGAACAATTTTAAGAAGTAACATGCTACTACATTTATTTGAATGCCTGATAGACCTGGCCCTGCTGGAGGGCTCTGTACTGGCCTGGCTCGGTGTGCAGAGCCCCTCCTCACAGCCTCAAGAATTGGGATGCAGCAGTTTTCTGAGTGGCAGCATCCATCCAAGGAGCCAAACTCTCCTTCTTGCCTGTTATGGAGAGCTGAGTAGCTGTTGCTGCTGAAGAACAGGGCTTGGACCTGTACAGTCAGACAGTAAAAACAAATACAGTGACATACAGAAATTAAACAAAAGTTTAATTCTGCCCTTGAGTCCCAGAGCCTGCAAGGAAATAATCTGCCCCACAAGGCATTTGTGATTCACAGCAAATCCTGCCCACAGATGGGAAGAAAGACAAAGACTATATAATTTTTATTGAAAACAAGAAGCAAAATGCTTCTCTTGTTTTGGTTGGGAGTTTCTCAGTTCAGCAGGTTCCTATTAAAGGGCCTGTAATGTGTGAGAGGGTGAACCCAGTCATTTGCTGTGCTCCTTACTAGCAGAACAACGCTGGCAGATCCTCTTTCAAGTCTGGTTGTATATCTGGTTGCAGCGGCAGCGTGTGTTTCCTGGCCTGGTTTCCAGTCATGGTGGTGACTCAGTGTAGCGTTTGCAGGCTGAGCTGGCAACCGTGTGTTCCAAATGGGACAGTTCCACTTAGTTTTTTTTATTTATTATTTTTATACATATTTGTTCAAAGAGCCATGCTGAGAAGCTGCTCTGTTTGTTTCCTTTCTTCTTTTGTTTCATAAACTGAAAAAAATCCTTTCCAGCTCCAGCATCCTTTATCCTCCCATTTCCCTTCATGATGTCACCTAAGCCTATGACAGGAAGCCAACATCTGACATGCAGAGACACCTCTGCACTCTGAGCAGGATGCTGGGACTAAGCACAGTTAGCACATTTTATTCCCAAGACATCCGCATCCAGCAAGTAGAACTGTGCCCTTGGTTTGAACAGATCACGGAAGTGAACATCCTTTCAAGATTCCTCGTGGTTTACCTACTAGGATATTCTGTGTTAGCCTTAACTGAATGATCTCTAGTAATTCTCCACGCTTAATTTTTACACACTGCTCATGTTTCTGGAGCTTCCATCACTTTATTTGGCTTTCTCTTAGTAATTTTGCCATGCATTTGGAGATGTACGCACCTCACTTTTGTTTCCTCTGTATTTTCCCTTCCACATATCTAAAAATGAGGGAAAACAATTGGTTTGGAGTCTCATTTTGGAAGGAACTGTGGAGCTGGTGTTTCTGAGCCAGTATACTACCAAATAATAGGGGGTTTATTACTGTCAGTTTCTTCCTCACAAGAACTTTCTTCTGAAAAAATATGTCCTAATAAAAGATCATAATTTTTCTGCTGCTTTATATCTCCTTCTTCATACTGCAGGAACTGGTGGCACATTATTATTATTATTATCATTATCATTATTATTACTGTTACTTCTTCACTGCTCTGACTGTAGTCCAAGACCTTGTTAGGTGCCAGAAGACTGCAGTATATTTCTTGCTTCAAAGAGTTTCTAGTCTGAGTAGACAGTGTTGTAAATTTCTATACCTACTCACCCCTAAAGAGTCAAGTCAACATTGTTAAATGTTGTACTTGCAGGTAATTTTTAAAGAGATTTTAATCCTGAATCTCTGTCCTTTGGAAACTTACTTCATCACGGCTCCACAGAAAATAGCTTCTAATCTGGATCATCGGAGCCTTTACTCCTATTGGCTGTATGCAGGCTCCAAATATAGAGTGCTGTTGACGTGCTTATATGTGCAGCCTGGGAACCAAATATAAGCCATGTGTGGGCTGAAAACTTTCCTAGACTTGCAGAGGAAAGATGAGGCTGTTCGGAAGCGTGTTCCTAATGTATCGCTTTAATACCAATAAACTCTCAGAAAGCAAAATTCCCAGTCAGGTCAGAGACTGATGGACTAACATGGCTCCAGTGGAAGGGAATGAGGAGCATGCCTGGGAGGCAATGTGGGATCTGACTGTCCTAATAGCAGCAGTGCTGTCGGAATGATTGATGGCTGATGAGGTTTGCATGCAGAGGATGACCGTGCATCTCAGTTCAGTCCTTTGTTTTTTAAACCAGCTATTCCACTCTTAATGTGCAAGTCCATTAATCCTTGGATTTGAGCAGAGAATTACATTTTTCTGCCTACAGAGCGCTCGTGTGTAGTGATGAATGGATCCTCTCCACACTTTTAAGCAGGCAGGTAAGGCATAGAGGGATTAGACAACTTGCCCAAAGATGCCCAAGAGATCTGTCACAAAGACAGTGACCAAATCCAGAAAATGGAGTTCAGTGCTAGTTCAGAGCTGTGGCTAACATTCATAATCCGCCTATAAATTTGGTTGGACATCACATACGGTAGCCAATTGAAAGACTGATCCCTGTAGGATCTGCTGAAAGCATTCTTATGGTGCAAAGCTTTTGAGTAAGTGCACAGAGGCCTTGCTAATGGATTGTTTTTAATTCCTAAATGTTACAGAATAATGGTGATGGAGAGTCAATCAAAACTGTTCTCATGTCTCCTGAAAACCGCATCCTTATCAAACGCATGTTGATAAAGTGTGCTGACATTTCCAATCCATGCAGACCCATAGAGCAGTGTATAGAGTGGGCCGGACGCATCTCTGAGGAGTACTTTGCACAGGTAAGGCAGCTAAAATGGGCTGCTGAAATTCCAGGTGAGCATCTCTTTAAGGGAAGAGAAAAGTGCACACACTGCCAGCGTCCCAGAACATCTAAGGCTGCATTATGTGGTGTGAAAAGTAACAACTTTTTTACTTTAAATGACGGGATATTACTTATGCTGATAGAAGGCTAGATGCCTTCAGACAGATGAAAGTTGACAACTTCTACAGTGCAGTTTTTGAAAAATTTAAGCTTTCAAGTTGTTCGATTTGGAGCTGAGCTTTCTGAGTTTTGCCTGCAAATGCATTCCCATCACAAGAGGCAGAGGAAGGGTGCCTTCTGTGTACCGACATGCTGGCTATGCCTCAAGAATAGCATCATCAGGTCCTAGTGTTAGCATGAGAACAGCACTCACTTCAAGAAATGCTGTAAGACTTCAGCACGCTGTGCTGAAGAAAGGTTTTAGTAAGATGAGGAAAAAGAAAGAGCAGAGTCATTATTATAGATAATAGACCAAATACTGCAATTGGGACTTGGTACCTTAAGGGGGGAAAAAAGAGGATAAAAGGATATTTTGCCGTCTCCCAGTTGTACAGTGTCACTTCCATCAGAGGTTGAGAATGGTTGAGCATCTTTTAGCTCTGAAGCAGTCATAACTTTATCAGTAACGTGTGAAGTTACTTAGTGTCAGCTTTGGGTGTAGATGCAGAAGGTAAATGTGTATCACTTTGTGGGAAACACCGGAAGGCACTATTCGTCTGCTGTTTGGCTGAAACCTCGATGACTAGGTGCTTAAGGTTAAATTGCTGCTGCTCCAGATTTATTGAGGTTCCTCTGTTTGTTTAGCAGTTGCATGCTCTAGTCAGTGCCAAACAATCTGCTGCTAAAAGAAGCCCATAACAGAATGTGTCTTAGATGAATAATCACAAGAGTGTTTATTTTTGCAGACTGATGAAGAAAAGAGGCAAGGTTTACCTGTTGTGATGCCAGTTTTTGACAGAAATACTTGCAGCATCCCCAAATCCCAAATATCGTTCATTGATTACTTCATCACTGATATGTTTGATGCCTGGGACGGTAAGCAAAACTGCTATATTTCCTGACAATAAGTATTTTGTGAACATTGAAACTACTGTGATATAAAATTGCTTTCTTGTGGCTCCTAAAGAAAGGAGAATTGGGAAGATTTCTGCAGTTCAAGTAAGCTTAATAACTTCATTTTACTCAGACATATTTTGATACTGCTACAAGTCACTCTCATGGCTTCTCTTTAATGTATTAACATTCAGGCAATGCTTAACTTTCTTCATTTAAACTTGCTTTTCTGTAAATGAAGAACAGAACGTATTCTTCTTGATAGCACTTTGGGCACAGTCCTTTTGTCCATGGTAACATCAGTTATTCTTCAAGACAAATTTCTACAGTCTGGAAACTGCTTGGGAGAGCAGCTGTTTTCTTCCAAGTGCTGGTAAAAGTGGTCAGAAATGTGACTTTCCTGAATGCTGGATCATGACATATGAGTGAGATTTGATGAAGCAGGATATAATTACAAGCATAATTAGCTATGCTCCTCCTGCAAAACTGGGTCCCTTCGTTGGGACTTGCAATACCATTATTAAGTAGACTTACAGACTGTTCTCAGCGACCTGAGTGATACATGAGCGATGAGAGCTCTACAGCCAAAACCATTTCAAGTATCAGTATGACAGGTTTAAGCTTTCCTATTTAACACAGTTGCCCAGACATTTCAAGTGATGTTTAAGCAGACACAATCACGTGACTGTTTCAGTTTTGCAAACTAAATATTCTCTGCCATTTCTTCCCTAGCATTTGCAGACCTGCCAAATTTGATGCAGCATCTGGATAATAACTTTAAATACTGGAAAGGACTAGATGAAAGGAAGCTGCGGAGCCTTCGACCACCACCAGAATAGCAATTAGACCATGGTGTGTAATTTACTAACCAGATGCATATTTATTCAAGCTCACTTTTATTCATGTGATTTCAGATTTGTTTTGGTCTCTTCAGTATTACAGTAAGGCTAGCCCACGCGCTTGGGGAGCTTTCAAATTCAAGAGAACATGAGGTCAGCAGTTGACTTCCACAAACTACCATGTGTGGACTCCAAAGAAATAAACCTATCAAGTGGAATTACACTGGATTGCTGGAGTGCTTGTACTGAAGAGGGTTTATTAGTGAACATATTTTTGCGATATCTTCATACCAGTATGTGAAGCTGCAAGACCTTGAAGAATCCTCATAAAAGGACATTCACTAGAAGATTTTGCTTAATCCTTAATCCTGCAAGTGAAAAAGAAATATCTATTAATAGAGACTCACAGCTTTTACGAGAAAGCTAAATGCTTTTTATAAGCACTTAAGACAGTTACGTAGAACAATCAGACATTTAAAATGCAACTCTCTATGAAGGAATTTTTGATCTATGAAAAATAGATGTATTCTATTTTTTCACATCACAGAAGGTGCAATCATTCACTTCTGAGCACTACTGAAAGTGAGTTCTCTTTAAGAAATTTAGTAGCAAATGTAAAAAATAACACAAGAATTTTTGAGGTTGATCGTTAGCATCTATGATTAAAATGATATGTTTTATTTATTTTGTTAGATGTTCAATATTTTCTATGAATTTATAAATACTTAAAAGCCAAAGCCAACTTTAGATGCATTACAAATTTTCATGATTCATACTCATTAATATACATTTAATTGATGTACAGACCTTTTATTTTCATAATGCAAATACAAAATACTATACAATGATACATTTTTATTGCACTGTAAGGATAGATGTGTATGTTTAAATATTGTCTGATTTATGTTAATTAAAATAAGTTTTATTGAAAAGGTCTCACTTGAGAATAGTAGAATAAACAAGAGGTGTATACTGTCTGAGCACCAGAACTGCAGTAGTTCTCCCACAAACCAGTGACAACCACCTGATCTTCCCTTGGCTACAAAAATTAAATGTTGGAACTTTTTGTTTTCTCCCACGAAATTTTATGACTGAATTCCCTGTCAAAGTCTGCCTTATTTTATATAGTATTTCTACAAAGCATTCCACAGCATATATGAAGAGGTAATACTAAACATCTAATGAATTTCAGCATTTTATAGCCTATGTATTTTCCTCTGCCGTGAAAGAAACAGAACATAAAACCACCACCAAAAACCTTTAACTGAAGAAGTTTGTAAAGGCTGTGTACCTTCACAATTTGAATGAAACCTTCATAGCAAACACCAGAAAATAATAAAATGTATATTTTAAGAAGTGTCAAAGTCCTAGCCATTTCATTTGAAATGTAGATTTACTTTGTAGTTTGCAGACTAACAGATACATTAATTTTTTTTTTAAATAACTAAGATACTTGATGTCTGGGGGAGGGAAGAGTTGAGGGGACTGGACTGGCGTAAGAGTGATGAAAGCTGGTATATGGCTGGCAAGCCCCTGTGTTTGTGGCCTGACCTTGGCAAGCCCATCAAACCCTTGTGTGCCCTTGGACAAGTCTCTTCACAGCTCAAAGCAGTGCCACGCTTATTCCACTGAAGAACTAGAAGAGTATCCTGTCAGCCTTCCCGGTAGGCAGAAGGGCACTCCAAAAGCACTGAAAGAATTGCTGACTGTTGTCAATGCAGAGGCAATTGTCTCTAGAGACGTTTTGAACCATTCCTGAAGAAACACAAGCAGGGGAAAGGTGGATGATGGAGCCGTTCAGGGACTGCAGTAGGAGCCTTAAAGCAGGTAAGAAAGGAGCAGGTGACCTCTCCAGTTGTTACCTCTTTCTGTGTTCCTCCTTCGTCTCCAAGCCGATGAGACTCATGGCCCCCACCATTTGTAGCTCACCACGCTTCGTGTTTGCGTCATGCCTTTTGCCAGTGCTGCCCTTACCCTGCTTGTGTGCTCTCCCTTTCTACGTAGAGTTTGGGTTATATGCTGTCAGGGCAGGGAATTCCCTTTTGTAAGTTCCTTTAGTTTATTGATGCGTGTATATTGCCTAACCCAGTGGGCGCAGACCCTGCCTGGGAGCACCCAGGCCATGCCGCTGTCTCAGTGATAACAGTAGGACAGAGGGCATGAAGTCCTTGTTGACCTTCCAGGGGTTCTACAATCCATCTGAAGGAGCAGATACATTTTCATTGAAGGCTGAAAGAATCAAGTATCCTATTTTCAAAGGGAACATGCAAGGAGAGGGGGAGTTGGCTGCCAGATATGTTGTTTTCCTTGCAATGTTACATAGTGTTTCTGTATACATGCACCTGTTGTAATTGGCTGTAATTTGCCACCTGGCATTAATCTCTTCTATCACATGCAGGTTCCTGTGCCTAGTTCAAGGAAAAGCTGCTTTGGTTCCGTTAGAGGGAAGCTGCATCACACAGTCAATACCTCCTCCACTTACCTGCTGCAAAAAGGGTAAGAGAGGAAAAGTAACAGCATATGGGTCCAGAAAATGTCTGCAGAAAGGGGGTAAAAATATTTCTTCATAAGCATGGTTAATATTCTGGGTTATATTAATGAATGGTAAAAGCAGTTAATTTAATCTTCTATTAAAATGCCTGATGCATCATCATTGAAAAGCTGTGATCGATAGGATTAATTCCCTGAAATTCACACCGCATCTTTAATGCCATTATTGGGAGTGTAGAGTTGTGCTAATCAACCCACTGCATCAGCCAGATTTATGTCCATATTGGTGTACAATAATTTCATTTAACATAAACCACTGATTTGCAGCCACTGAATGCAGCTCTATTGATTCTGTTGTCCATTTAAATTTTGCTGTTGCCAGGGACAGATTGTAATTAAAGTCTGGAACCGCCATGCCTGATCCTCACCTAAGATCTCTTCCCACTGAGCTTCCCTCTACAAGCAACAGCCCTTAAGCCTGCTGTGCAGCTTCAGTGGGCCGATTCCAGGCTGCTGCCCATGCAGAGCAGTAATGGCTCTAATGGGATATTCATCGCTCCAGTATTCAAACATCTTTGGATCCCACTGCAAATTCTTCAGCCATTCCAGATCCCCTTCCTTTCTTCTCCAAGATTAGATAGCAACATCACATGCCCTGTGCTCTGAATCCTTTCCAGTTTAGTATCTCTTCCCATGCTTTTTGAACTGTCACTCAGTGATGGAGCTCTGCTTGGGACAGAAACCATGGCTTTACTGATGGTCCTTCACCATGAAAGGGAAAGCACTGAAACAAACTGAAAGAGTAAGAGTGAAATTACTGCCTCTTAGGTGTTATTTTTTACTCATGGATCTACCTCCTAGATCATTTTCGCTTTCTGAAGGAAGTCTGCCCTGAGACTGGTTGCAAATACATGGTTACCGTAGTCTGTACCTGAAGACAGGCTGAGAGAGTTGGGGCTGTTCAGCCTGGAGAAGAGAAGGCTCTGGGGAGACCTTCCAGCACCTTCCAGTACCTAAAGGGCCTACAGGAAAGCTGGAGAGGAGTTTGGACAAGGACCTATAGTGACAGGACACGGGGCAATGGCTTTAAACTGAAAGAGGGGAGATTTAGATTAGATATAAGGAAGAAATTTTTTACATTGAGGGTGGTGAGGCATTGGAACAGGTTGCCAAGAGAAGCTGTGGATGCCCCATCCCTGGAAGTGTTCAAGACCAGGTTGGATGAGACTTTGGGCAACCTGGTGTAGTGGAGGGTTTCCCTGCCCATGGCAGGGGGGTTGGAACTAGATGATCTTTAAGGTCCCTCCCAACCCTAACCATTCTATGATTCTTCCCCATTTCAGACAGGCTGACAGTCTTATACAGTGTCTACACTTTTCATTTGTTCTTGCTTTAATGCTAATACAAGAGTAAATTTCAATGTAGACATGATGAAGGAGAGGTCCTTTATGGACCTCTGGCATTTTAATCTTAAAGCTTTGTGTTTTAAAACTGAATAAGGTTCAGCAATTCAGCATTAAATGACCCATTCGGAATGATTGGTTCTATTTTCCATGCTGCATAGTTGCAATCAGGTAATACTGCTGCTAAAGCTGCGTATCACTTTAGTTGCTTCCAGAGTATGAACTATTATGATCTGGTAAAAAAAAATGCTGGCTCCTCAGCAAATTGCCCTAGATTAATATCTTGATTCCTTCAAGGGATAGGTATAAAATTCTGTGTAATAATTGCTTATTCTTACAAAAGGAGAAACCAGACAGGCATTGTGCACAGCTACCTTGTCACGGCTCTGAAGATGGCTTTCATACTATGATTTTCCCAATGGCTATATATAAATTAAAAATCACCTGAAATGGAATGAATGCCTTGGGTTTTGTTGCAGTGCTTTTTGCTCTGCTTGTCTCAGTAGAGACATCATTGATATTTCACTTAAGAAAATGTCATGAACATGAAGGAACAGAAGCAATGACAAAGCCATTCCTACATAAAAGATAAGAAAGGATAATAAATATCTACTAATCTCTCACAGGATGCTCAGAAACAGCACAGGGAAACTGTAGTCAGTTGAGCCCTTCTGTGAGACCAGAAGGGTTTGAGTCATGACTCTGCATGGAGCACTTTGAAATGAAGTCTCAGAGCTATTCACAAGCTTCAAAACAAATAATCTCTCTGCTGACGTGTGACATCATGCCTCCAAGGAACAGTGGTCCCAGGGGTGCTTGTTAAACGATAGCAGGATGGATTGCATTTCATCCTGACATGATGCTTGGATGCAGAAAACGAGCTTTTAAATTACTGCCATGTCCCTGTGCAGAACAAAGGGGATGTCCAGGTGCTTCAGCTGTTTTTTGTTTCTGCTGAAGCTATGGCTTTGTGGGCAAAGGACTTCTGTGTTGTAACTCCAGCGAATGCTTTCTCTTGGTGACTGCTTTGAATGTTACTAGGGCAAAGTGTCTCATGTTTTCCTTTTTTTCCCTTGTTTAACATATTTAAGAATTTCCTCCCACACTTCCCACACTAACCTCAGTGAAATTAGCTTTGCAAACCCTGTGAAGTTATGTGTTAGCATCCTCTTCAACAAGCAAGGCAATTGAGTTAGGAAGGGCCAGAGGACACAGAGCCACTAAGCAAAATGGGTTTCATAGAATCATAGAATGGTTAGGGCTGGAAGGGACCTTCAAAGGTCATCTAGTCCAACCCCCCTGCAAGGAACAGGGATATCTCCAACTAGATCAGGTTGCTCAGGGCCTCGTCCAACCTGGCCTTGAACGTCTCCAGGGATGGAGCATCCACCACCTCTCTGGGCAACCTGTTCC